ACTTCAGTACGCTCGTGGACGGCCACCGTACTTCTATTCCCCACCCTTCCCCCTTCGATGACTGTACAACATCTTTGTATAGCTGTCTTCCCACTTCCAAATGAGACCTGCGCTTGTAATACCGTCTTTGATGAGGCACCTACAGTATCAGTTGCTAACGAGCCTCTGTGCAAATCTCAGAGTAAGGTTTCCCGAGCTATCAACCCTGTCTGGCAACCAGTTGTCGCGCAATTCTATCGCCCGCAATGAGTGGCAATCTTGTTGGATTTTGTGCGGCAGGAGCTTTTCTGTCACTCTTGTTTGTATTAAAGTCCATGATGAATCACATTTTCAGGTCAGAACTATCGAGACACGCTCGCAGAAACACATGCTTCAAAGCAACGCTCAGGAAGTGCGGAAGATTTCGATCAAGTCTCGGGAGACTCTCAGCTAGAAGAAGGTCTCTCAGTGGATCCTCTCGCAGTATCTATTTCTTCTCACTCAATTGAAAAAGTTGGGCTAGGTGCTGAGGCCGAATCCATTCATTTCTCATGTACCGTCACACAGCGAGCATGTAGTCTTATTCTATTCGATAATTGTACCTCCTATATTTGCCTTATTTGATGTTTTATGATGGCTGAGGTAGGAGCAATGTAAGAAATCCTTAACTGGTCCTGCGCTCGTTAATGTCTTTTGCAGTACACTTGTAACTTCTTCTGTCTACAGCATACCTTAGCATTCCTAAAACTAATAAACTATCACTTATCACAATTTGTCCATGTTTTACACCGTTCTTCTAAGAGCACCATTTCATGAACGTGACCTTTGGAAAAGCCGATGCCTCCGCTACGCGTACGAAAACATGCAGCAGTTGCAAATAACAAGATTTTGTGAGTACGTCAGGAAGATTGTAAGCTGGTTCACAGTGCTGTTTCAGAGGACATTGTGCCCTTGAATGTCACCACTGTTCTGAGTGGAAGTCTGATTAGCCCCGAATTCCATGGATGGTAGTGGGGAAAGGGGGTGAACATTACCGAGAGCCTCATTTCCTATTATTACAAGCACGATACGAGGATTTCGGATGCATTGCGTCCTTTAATAATTATGGTTGTTGAACTGGTATCACCTCTGGTAACAGACAATTTTTCGCTACTCAAGAATTGCTGCTATGTATAATTTGCTACGTCCGTCTGTTTGTTTCTTCGGAATTTCGCTCCTACCTGAAAAACCACTTTCAAAGCTAGAGTCAGGTACAACAACTGCTGGGAGTGAGCGATATAGGGGAGGACGAGAACATTATTGATGGGTAACAGTACATTATCACAGCTGTGAAGACCCGATA